AGAACTTCAGGCAATGCTCACACTCAGATATCAGAACTGAATGAAAGTGTAGTGTGGAAGGGCCAGCCCTCCAATGTCCAAGTTCGGAGGGAGCTCAAGGTCCCAAGGCAAGGCTCATTGGAGGGAGGGCAGAACTTAGAGTCTAGGAACAAGTGTAAGTGCAGTAGAGGGATATAAGGGATGCCAAGGCAGGCTGGTGGTCATGCCCACGCAACATAAAATGCTGGCACACCCCTGACCAGCCCACTAGCCAAACATTGGAGAGTTAGGACTATTGAAGGTCAGGTTCAACCCTGGACAGCAATTTGGATGCTGCCAGGCCAAACCTTAACTCAAACACACATAAGGAATGGGGATGGGAAACTGAAAAGAGCTTAGGACCCAAAGGGTCCAGTTTACATCCATGGACAATAACTTTGTATATTGCCATATTATTTAAACTATAGCTCAAACACATAGGGGGACATGGGGAATGGGATTCCATTGCAAGACATAAGCAAGATATAAGCACATTATACAAAGGTTAAATTCTACAGCAGTAAAAGTAAGCATGGACAGGAGATTGGTAAGTAAACACATTAGAGTTGATGCTGGAATTAAAACTAGGACATACCAGTTTCAGAAGAGACAAGCAAAAGAAAGCAGAAGTCTGCAAATAGGCCAGAGTACAAGTAAACAAGAGAGAATACTTTTTGAGTGTTGTGTGAGTTCAGAAAACTACGAATGTTGGTGTGTTGTGTTAGTAAAGAGGCATGTATTTATAGTTTTGAAAAAACAGGCAAGGAATAAGGCAAAGAAATAACCATGTTACCAATTGGAATCAATCAGTAGAAGAACTTCCTTTAATTAAGGAGTTCAAAACTTAAACGGTAATGAACAAAAGAGTATTTAAGGAAAGAGATCAAGTAAGCATCTTGTGCAAAGTAGGCAATTAGGGATAAATACATAGGAGTTTAATTAAGGGAAGAAATTTTGAAATACACGGTTAAACAAATAAGGTAAGAACCAATCAGTACCCAATAAATCAAGGAATCAGAGATTTGTAACTATTGGTTCATGAATAACCAAGTCAGAAAGGCTAAGGAAAAGGTTTTACTTAAGAAGAATCAGTGGCAATCAATTAACCCCCAAAAAAAGGGATTTCTGATTCGAACACAAGTTAGAAAACCTTTTTGAAGAAAGATTTTAACACATATAAAGGGGTTGTCATCTAATCAGACGGAGTCTAGTATAGAAGAATTCATACACAAAGGATTCAAACTCAGTAACATGGACCCCAAGTGAGTTTGAGGAGAGTCCAGGGCTCAAATAGAACCCTAGTCAAAACACACAAGACCAAATTCGCCAAAAAACCCCAAATCCTTAGGGTTTTCGACTTGAATCAAATGGCAAGAAGAGGAAACAAGCAGATACAGTAGAAGGTTTAATGCAAACAGAGTCATGGAATGAATTTCGAAAACAAAAGAGTAGAAGAAACAGTAGAGGAAAATATACTTAAGCAGGCATAGTAAGGAACACTTAATGAACTGGATAGAAAAATACCGAGGGCAACATATCAAGTCGTAATGGAAGCAAGTAGCCAAAACATAGCATGTGAAAACATAGCACAGAAACATAGCATTGGATAAAACATAACACAGAAAACATAGTAGAGGAAGAACAAATATAGGCAAACAATAGTAGAAGAACAGTGTAAAAAGAGAAACATAAGAAATGGTAGAGACAAACATACACGAGAAAGGGAAGAAGAAAGACGGAAAACACATAAGCATTTTTTTTCAGGAAACCCTTACATCAGAAAGGAAGTGACTTTGAAGAAAGAATTTTATTAAAGAAAATTGCGGGAACCTTTTTAAAAACTCAAGTAAAGCATGAATACACACAGATCTTTTGAAGAGGAATTGTGAGAAAAACCTCGAACAGCTAGGGTTTAGGTGAACCTAGAATGAGAAGGCTTCGAAAAAATGTCGATTAAGTCGGATAAGACTTGGAAAACAGTCAGGAGCAAGCATATGTCGGAAGCCAAAGCCGGAGATGGCCGGAAACCCTCAAGTCGGCGGAGATCTGGGTGGAGACCTTTGAGGTTCTAGCCTCAAAACCTCAAATACCAAGCGCACAAGAGCTATAGGAGGTGAGTATGAGGGTTTTCACGGCCTGAGAAGCCATGGGAAACCGGCGAGAATCGAACGGGATTAGGGTTAGCTTGGTGGCGCGCGACTAGGGTTTGCAGAGAGAATGGAGAGAAGGGAATTCAATGGGCGGCGGTAGAGGGAACATGAATTAGGGTTGGAGGGAGGTTTGGGGTAAATTAAAAAAGGAAATGGTGTATTGGGTCGTTGATCATTTTAGATCAACGGCTGTTATTAGAAGGGGTCTTAGGTGGAGACCGGGTGGTGGTTCAAACGGGGTTGTTGGGCTAGAATTAATTGGGATCTAAAATGGGCTAATTTGGGGGTCCAATGTTGGCTACAATTGAATAAAATCTGGCTAGCACTTTAATGGCCATTTTTTTCCCCTTTTTTTTATTTTTAATAAAAATAGTGAAGAATGATTTTAAAAAACAAATTAAAAGCAGCTTAGAGTAACTAATAATTTTTATAAACATTAATCTAAAAATACTGGAAATGATTTTATAATTGTAAAATGCTGTTAATTGTAAAATAGGCTATAATTGTAATTATATGCAATTTAGTTTTAAAAATGCCAAATAAATCTATAAAAAAATATGCAAAAATCACCCTTATTATATTTTGGTGTAAATATGAGATAAAATGATTATTCACAAAATGATAATTTTTGGGAAAAATTAATTAATTTGTAGTATTAAAATAGACAATAAATTGGTTTAAAAAATCTTTAAAAATTTGGAAAAATACCAAAACACTTGGGTATGCTCATATATGTATATATATATATATATGTTATTTTGAAAGTATTTTGAGTATAAAAATATCTAGGGAAAAATTGGGTATCAACAACATGCTCTTTGGACTAGATACCCGATCTGCAGAAACCATCCAATTCTCGTAAACCCATCATGACCTATACCTAAAAAACGAGAAACCTTGCCAGGACTCTATCAGTACCAATTTTGTAAGGGATCCCTTTTTTGATCAGTGGCGCCCTTTGCGGGTTTTCACCAATTGACCTCTCTCATTTCTCTTCTCACCGTCGTCTTATAGTGCTCTTTGCGAGTTTTCACTAACAAGACTCTCTCATTTCAATTTCTCTGCTTACCATCGCCTTATGGTGCCTGTGTGGGTTTTCACCAAAAAGACTCTCATTTTATTTCTCTCTTTTGATTGTATCAGATCCAGGTAACCATATCCTCCAATTTTGGACATCTTTACCGATTGATCGGAAGGACTTGAACGGGATTTGGGATTAAAATAGTTTTGGATTGAATTACAACTTTGGAAACTTTCAGGCGAACCATCGCCGAACCATTATAACTTCTGCCCCAATTTCAACTTTTGGGGAAATGTGGATTTTTGTTTTGGTGTAACTGAACCCCAGCGAGAGGCTGCCTACGTATCCTTTCGGAATCAAGTCAAACGTAGTTAAGGAAACTTTGTTTTTGGTTTTCTTTTGTTTTTGTTGTTTTGTTTTTTTTAACAACATTTTCGGGTTCCAAAGAGGGTAGTTAAAGAAAGGTAACTGGCTCAAAGGGTTTGCAAAGGGTTGATAGTGTTTGGGTAGCGAGAATGAATGCCTTCGTCATCCCAATCAGAGAATATTAGCACTGCAGAAAGGTTTAAACGTAATACCTTTTGACCGCGTCTGCATTGACAGCAGTTTCGGGGTCATTGCCTTCAATGTCTCCCAAGTACAATGCCCCTTTTGGCAATAATTTCCTTATAATGTATGGACCTTTCCAATTCGGAGCGAATTTTCCTTTGGCTTCCTTATGATGCGGGAGAATACGCCTCAAGACCAATTGCCCCACCTCAAAGTTTTTGGGCCGCACTTTCTTGTTGTAGGCGCGGGCCATTCTTTGTTGATACAACTGCCCGTGGCAAACAGCGGCCATCCGCTTTTCATCAATCAGGGTTAACTGTTCTAGACGGGTCTTGACCCATTCATTTTCCTTAATCTCAGCTTCGATGATGATTCAAAGGGATGGAATTTCAACTTCTACAAGTATTACGGCTTCAGTGCCATAAACCAATAGATAGGGTGTTGCCCCAATTGATGTGCGCACAGTTGTGCGATATCCCAGTAATGCAACAGGAAACTTTTCATGCCATTGTCTAGAACTTTGAATCATTTTCTTGAGGATCTTCTTGATGTTTTTGTTCGCTGCTTCAACAGTACCATTAGTTTTGGGCCGATAAGGAGTAGAATTCCGATGCGTGATATTAAATTGTTCGCATACCTCCCTCATCAAATGACTGTTCAAATTTACAACATTGTCCGTAATGATAGTTTTAGGAATATCAAAATGACAGATAATGTTGGAATGCACGAAGTCCACCACTGCTTTCTTGGTGACGGCTTTGAGAGTGACTGCTTCAACCCACTTTGTGAAATAGTCAATGGCAACTAAGATGAATCTGTACCCATTTGAAGCTTTCGGCTTGATTGGCCCAATGACATCCATACCCCAAGCAACGAACGGCCGCGGTGCTGACATAGGATGTAATTCTAAAGGCGGTTCATGAATCAGGTCACCATGTACCTGACACTGATGACATTTTCGGACAAAACTAAAACAATCCTTTTCCATGGTCATCCAGTAATAACCTGCCCGAAGGGTTTTCTTTGCAAGGACGTATCCGTTCATATGGGGTCCGCATACTCTTGTGTGCACTTCATTCATGATTCTTCCGTCCTCTTGGGCATCCACGCATCTTAAAAGGTTCAGATCTGGAGTTCTTTTATACAAGATTTCTTCGCTCAAGAAGAAACTACTGGCGAGTCTTCTAATGGTTCTCTTTTGGTCTCCACTAGCTTGTTCGGGATATTCCTTTGTTTTCAAGAATCTTTTGATATCATGATACCATGGCTGAATATCTGGTTCCATTTCAACTGTAATGCAATAACCATGTCTTTCTCGAATTTGGATTTCCAGTGGGTCAATGTGGACATTACCCGAATACGGCAACATTGCTGCCAAGGTAGCTAACGCATCAGCTAACTCATTGTGGAATCGAGAGATGTACCTGAATTCAACAGACTTGAACCGTTTGCTAAGATCTTCCACATGTTGCCTGTATGGGATAAGCTTGATGTTCCGAGTTTCCCATTCACCTTGAGCTTGCCGAATAATCAAGTCAGAATCTCCCATGATTAACAATTCTTCCACATCCATGTCAACTGCCATGTTCATACCCATAACGCAAGCTTCATACTCAGCATTGTTGTTTGTACAGAAGAACCGAGGCCGGGTTATGGACAGATAGTGCTGACCAGTGGGCGAAATCAAAATTGCCCCAATCCCGACACCTTTTGCATTCACAGCTCCATCAAAGAACATTTTCCAAGCATTGGTGTCTTCTGGAATTACCTCAACCGAACTTACCTCCTCGTCCGAAAAGTAAGTACTCAATGGTTGATATTCATCATCAACAGGATTCTCAGCTAGGTGATCCACCAAGGCTTGAGCTTTCATTGTTGTGCGGGTGACATAGACTATGTCAAACTCGGTAAGCAGGATTTGCCATTTTGCTAACCTCCCGGTGGGAATTGGCTTTTGGAATATATATTTCAATGGATCCAACCTGGTAATGAGATAGGTGGTATAAGCCAACAAGTAATGCCTAAGCTTTTGAGCGACCCAAGTTAGGGCGCAGCAAGTTCTTTCCAACAAAGTGTACTTGGCTTCATAACTAGTGAACTTCTTGCTCAAATAGTACATGGCTTGTTCTTTCTTCCCGGTCACATTATGTTGCCCGAGAACACATCCAAAAGAATTCTCCAACACTGTCAAGTACAAGAACAAAGGCCTTCCAGGCTCGGGTGGGACCAACACGGGCGGATTCGACAGATATTCTTTGATTTTGTCGAAAGCTTCTTGACATTCATCTATCCATCTAATCGCCGCATCTTTCTTCAATAGCTTAAATACGGGCTCACAAGTGGTAGTCAGCTGAGCAATGAATCTGCTGATGTAACTCAATCTTCCCAACAGACTCATAACCTCTTTCTTGGTTCTCGGAGGGGGCAAGTATCGATGCCCCTCGGACTGACTATAAACCCCAAAAGTTTCCCATATGGTACTCCAAATGCACACTTAGCTGGATTCAACTTCAAGTTATACTTACGTAGTCGCTCAAAGAACTTTCTCAAATCTCGCACATGGTCATCCTGCGTTCTGGATTTATTGATCACATCATCCACATACACCTCAATCTCCTGGTGCATCATGTCGTGAAAGATGGCAGTCATAGCTCTCATGTAAGTTGCCCCGGCATTCTTCAAACCAAATGGCATGACCCTGTAACAGTAAGTACCCCAAGGTGTGTGAAAGCCGTCTTTTCTGCATTTTCTTCATCCATCAGAACCTGATGATACCCAACATAACAATCCATAAAACGAATGTATCTCATGTTTGGCACAGTTGTCAACAGGATGTGGATGTTGGTAATGGAAAGTTGTCCTTGGGGCTTGCTTGTTCAAATCCC